CATGTTGGCACCCATTAACTCCACCCACCTGTTCACCTACTGTAGCCTAAAGAAAGTGAACAATGCTCAGGCGTTGTCAACACTCAACACAACATAAATTAATTAATAGCACAAGTTGAGGGAGAGGAAGCTACAGGACAAAGGCAGAGGGGCGGCCTGATCTCTACAGCAAAAATAATTAGAGAGGGGGCAGCGGAATACAAGGACAGGGTCGAACACAGGCACACCCAGATCAGCTTACGCCATCCCTTGTCGGGGTACTGGGGTTTACTTTTCCCGAGACCCTTCTGTTCCACGTGTCTTCCCTCCTCACCTGCACAGTCTCTCAACCCCCCCCCCCCCTTCCCCACAAGCCCCATTGCCTGCATTGCTCTCTGCTTGCTGCTGTGATTGTCACGTTTCCTCTATTTTCCTCCTCAATTTGCATGCGCTCTTGCTCTTGTCCACAAATACGCTGCTACACACAGCTTAACCTCAACAAATTGCTTCTTTTACTTTCACCCTACAATTGCTAATTTCAAGAGTCCTTTGTTTAAGTAATTCAGCACGTATAAAAAGTGAAAATTAGTAAATCTTAACTTTTAAAATATTAACATTAGCTGTAAAATTATTTAAATATTTTTAATAAATTTTTATTATATCTTAATTTATTTAAATTATTTAAATTTATTTTTTATTTTTTAATATTTAAATTAATAAAATATCTTAATTTTTATATTCCCTTCTTCGTCACAACCACTTGCAACAATGGAGCTAGATAATTAATAATGAACCGTAAACTTGGATGTGACTTGCTACAAATTCTATGAAAGTACCGTATGAACAGAAGTATATAAATCTTCTAAAAATTGAATTCAACCTATTAAGTACAATATGAAAGAATTTCTTCAAAATATCCATTTAACCTAACTTCTTGAAACCGTTTTCAAAATTAATCAAAACATCACTGATGGTAGGAAATCAATCATAAACAAAAAGCTCATTTTTGAAGAGTAGATTTCCCAAATGAACTTACATTATATCCCAAAAGATACTTAGAAATGTTTCATCAAAAACTGGGGACATTCAATGAGAGTAGGAATTAGGTAATAGTTCCCATTAAAACACTTAAACTAAGTTCTTCACGTGATACCATTTTAGCCCTGAAACTGAAAGGCTGGATCCACCAGGACGACCTTGTGCCTTGTATCAACCTGGCCAATTGAGTATAGACATGCCAGGACCATCCCACCCCATAACAAAAGTTGCACCGAATCGAAATTTCCAATCAAGGGTAATTCCCAATTCCGAGGAAAACCTGTTTTGAAGTTATTGTAGAAGAGTTTTTAATTTTACAATTTAAATTGTGTTTGATTATAAAATAAAAATTATTAAATAAAAAATAATTAATATTTAAATATTATTTAATAATTAAAATTATACAATACCTTTTTATTTGAAAAAAAATTAAAACGCAAGTCCCTATCTTCGTAATATCCTCTTGAATCGAGGGTTTCTGTATTGAAATCACTAAGGCTAGCACAGGCCAACCTGTCACCACCAGCTTACAGCCTGGCATGCTCTGCCGCCTCCCTGATCCATCAAAGAGATCCATTATAAATTCAAAACCATTAAATTAAATAATTTCATAAATGAAATAAGATATACCTTCGACATTATTATTTTTGTGTATATTATTTATATAAAAAATATTAATTATTTATATTTTATTATAAATAATTATAATTTATTTATTTTTATTTTACTTTTAAAATAATTATATTTTTATTAAAAATTTGTGATATATTATAATTATTGATAAAAAAATAAATGATTAAAATTTTAATTAAATAATGTGAGATAAAATTTTTTATAAATATACGTCATGGCAATATATGTATTCATCATTCTAAAAGAATAAATATTTTTTTATTTTTTATTTAAATTAAAGTTTTAGAGATAATTTTTATTTTTAATTATTTTACTTTAATAAATAAATAAAATAAAATAAATGTTTTATTGGAGGAGGGCGTACGAGGCATTCTCCCCCACTATATATACCCCATTTCCTCTGTCTCTTTCTTCCGCACCAAAGTCCCACTCTTACTCCGAGATTTGAGTTCTCACTCGGCGATTTTCAGATTTGGAAGTTAATATAGCCACCGTAGGCGGCGGAGGAAATGGGTATTTGCATATCTTCCGATTCGACACCCGTAGCGACGGCGAAGCTGATTTTACAGGACGGGAGGTTACAGGAATTTCCGTACCCTGTTAGAGTGTCTTATGTATTGCAGAAGAATCCCATGTGTTTCATCTGCAACTCCGATGAAATGGAATTTGACGATGTCGCTTCGGCAGTCAGCGAGGATGATGAGCTGCAACTGGGCCAGCTCTACTTTGCGTTGCCATTGAATTGGCTGAAGCATCCGCTGAGAGCCGAAGAAATGGCCGCATTGGCAGTGAAAGCGAACTCTGCTCTAATGAACAGTGGCAAAAAATATGGGTGCCGCCAAAAATCGGGGTCTCCTCTGGTGTTCTCCGCCATAGAGCCTCAGCGGAAGAAGGCCACCTCCGGCGGTGCTAGGAGGAGAGGGAAGCCGAGAAAATTCAAGGCCATGTTGAGCGCAATACCGGAATGAAAAGGGTATTTCTGGAATGAGTGGTAGAAGGTGTAAATAATGTCATGGTTCGAGGATCTGTTAGTCAGATTATTGTGCCCCAAGTGAGGGTTGTATTCCAATTTTGTCCCTTATTTGGGCAGATGAAATGTTGAAATACCTTCTTTTTTTTTTCTTTTTTTTTTTAATTTTTACTCTTTTCCTTAATTAAAACCACATGGTGTATTATATATATAATAGCTCTCTAAAGCTTTAATTACCTTTTAAGTTATGGTATATTATTATACAAATAATTCTAAGTTTAAAATCAAATCTTAACTTTATTAAGGTTTAGAAATTAATAAATGTTAATTTGAATTACGAAAATATTATATAATTATAATATTATGTGATATTATAAAGTTATAATATAATATGTCATTATATAATTAATTTTTTATTTAAATTACTTTTAATATAATATATATTTATTTAATGTTGTATAGTATTATAAGTTTATAATTTTATATATAACATTATAATTATTGTATTACTATTTAAATAATTAATTTTACTCATTCATTTAGTAATAACTTAAATAACTCTATAATAATTTCTTGTCCTATATCTTATCTACATCTTATACAACGTGATGGAGTGATTAATCATGAAAGTTAAAATTCAATGTATTGAAAATTGAAAATTATAATGATGACAATGATAAATACAAAAGCAAAAGAAAGAGGCTTATTAATATTGGAATGGGATGACGACTGGGGAGGGCGTCTTCTTTTTGTCTTGTATGATGGACTATTCAGGGGTATTGGTAAAGCCACTTTACACGGACATGGGAAGGAAGGAGTAGAGAGGGGACAAAGTAGGGTACAAAGAAGGGAGAGGAAATGCCAAAAACTGCAGGCTAATCCACGCGGTGCCAATTTACCATGGGGCGCGGCGGGTCATGACGGATGCTCCATTCTTCAATGTTTCCTGAGGGGTGGGCACTACAATGCCACGCGGTAGGCTAGTAATATGACAGTGATAGACAGACTAATTTCTAGCGATAATTTTAATTATCGGGTGGATCATGACGGGTGTTCCATTCTTTCGAGGTTTACAAATTGATAATATTTCAAATTTGCAAATAAAAAAAAAAATTGTACAAAATGGATTTGGTAGATATGCGTGGAAACCAATGATAATTGTGCTAACTAAAAAAGGCAAAAATATGACATAAGGACCCAAACTTACACAAAATTCACAATTTTGGATCTGAACTTCAATTGTGCTCAATTAAGATCCCAAACTCTACAAAATTCTCAAATAAGGTCTCAATTGGACGGAAAACTAACTTCCGTCAAATCTCCTACAAAACAGCATTAATGTCTATCAGACTCCATCCAACTGGAATGAAAAAAAATTATTTTGACATGTCAATTACTTTTGCCATGTGAATGCCACATGGACATGAATTTTTAACTCCACAAACAGTTGGAATTCACTGGTGGGTCTTTTGGTCATTCTGGCCAAGGATTCCCATGAATTAAGGATAAAATCCCTAATTTTAACATGCTTCATTCTTCGTTCTCCAAATCGCAAGCAAATCTGGAAAATTTCTCATCCTTCATTCTTGAAAATGCAAACCAATTATGCTTATTAGGAGAGGTTTCAAGTGAAATTTCTCCCTCGTACCATTTCTGCTTATGATATTGAGTTGGAGGCAAGGTAGGCAGAGCTCGGTGACCTTGTCATTCGTAAATGCAACCCCATGCCAGTCACAGGAAGGGTTGGCGTGGACGGATCCCACCCATTCAAAGCCTTAAGTGGGTCATGGAGATTAAGCTTGAAAGCAGTCAATGCTTCAATTTCTGCTTGATTCTGCTCGCTGTATGCCAAAAATGATGCCTAGAATAGAACAAAAATGAAAAGATTTAAACCTGCATTGATTGATAACAGAGTTTTCAAAGAAAAGATTCCAAAGATTGAATCTTGACTAGCAAGAATGGATGGGATGATGAAGTTTAAGGGAAAGCAGAGCAGGAGCATGAGGTAGCATAGGTGGAGCCATATGCGATGGCAGAGAATGGTCGTTTTTTGCAGAGATGCATGGCAAGAAAATGGCAGAGATGATTTTGTTGCTTCTCACAAGCGGATGTCGAGAGAGTGGTCCTTTTTTAGCTAAATTTCCCCCAAAATGCTATGGATAAGCACTTTTTGAAATGGCAAGGGGTAGGCAAGGTGTAAGCACCTCATTCTTGAAAACGAATGAGAAATTTTTCAAATCTGCTTGTGATTTCGAAAACGAAGAATGAAGCATGTTAAAATTAGGTATTTTATCCTTAATTCGTGGGAATCCTTGGTCAAAAAGACCAAAAGGCCCACAAGTGGGTTCCAATTCATTATGGAGTTAAAAATTCATGTCCACGTAGCATCCACATGGTAAAAGTAATTGACATGTAAACATAATTTTTTTTCAATTGTGTTCCAGTTGGTGGAGTGTGACAGACATTAATGGTGTTTGTAGGAGATTTGACGGAAGTTAGTATTTTGTCCAATTGAGACCTTATTTGAGAATTTTGTGAAGTTTGGGACCTTGATTGAGTGCAATTAAAGTTTAGGTCTAAAATTATGAATTTTGTGTAAGTTCAGGTCCTTATGTCATATTTTTGCCACTAAAAAAGGTAGCTGAACTCTTTTTTATTACCTGCATAGTTTTCTTGATAACAATGTATCTACTACCTCTAATCCATTTTAGTTGTAGCATTAACTTTCTTCTCCAATTTTAGTAACTTTTTATAGCATAAAAATTAAAAATAACAATTGAAAATTTATTCAATCTAACAAAATTGCTTAGGGTAACTGAAAGAAGCAAAGGAAGAGTTAGTAGTCTTTAATTATTTTAAATCAATGCGTACTCCTTTACATTGTTAAATCAAAACCCTAGTCCCTCCATTTTTTTTTTTTTAGTTTTCATAATTTAACCGTATACTTATTTTTAGGTAATAATTTTTCATAATATATGAAAAATTGAAAATTCTTTCTTAGACCTTATTAGGTAGTTTTATTTTATCAAAAAAAATTCAATTGTTATATTTATATACTATAAAAATATTATTTCAAACAACTAAAAAAAGAGAAGGAGTATATTAAAAGAATCTTATTTTATTATCTGAATTATATTATACTGTAAAATAATGATCATTGAATGGGATGAAGACTCCCAATATAAATAGACCAACTTCAGTTCAATAATTATTATTGTGTAATTCAATATAATGTAAGTTATATAATATTTTTTCAATATACTAATAGTAATAAATAATAAAGTAAGATTTCGGTGTTCAACTAAAGAAGGAAGTAACAAACAAAAACCTGGAAATTGGTAATGAAGAGAAGAGAGCAACATCCCGGCAGCAGCAGGATGTTAAATGGCAGAAACGTGACAATTTTTTTTTTTTTTTTACAAAGATTGTGGTTAGGAAATTAGTATGAGTTAGTCGTTAGCAATTGGTTCTTAAATCGGGTGAACATTCCACCCCTTAAATGAGACGCGCAGTTATTAAACAGCTTTTTGGTGGAGTTCACGATGATGGTATAACTCAAAATTCTAACCATCTCACTCAAATACTTAAAGTTTTGATCAAATCATTGGGCTTAAAGATTCCATTCGACTTTTTTTTTTTTACTTCAAAGACGAGGAAGGCACGTACATGGAAGTGGGCATTTTACTGCACATGTATTGGAGAGGAAAAATATTTAAAAATTGGTAGTGGGACGGAGATCAGACAAGCTAGATCACCCTTGTAAAGTTGTAATGCCTTTTCCAATATTGTTTCTTTATACTCGCACCTTGGACGCAAACTCGTAACTACTGAATCACGTGTTAATTGTGAAGTTTACGTGACACTTTTTGACAGAAAATTGGCACTAAATATAAACATAAGATGTGTTAAGAGTAAAAGTTTTAACATTAAAAACAAAAAGTGAAATTAAATATTAATATAATACGAACTACCATACTTAATTTTTAATCTTGAATTGGATAATAGTAACTCAAATTCTAAATTTATTATTTATACTAAAAAGGAATTAATTTCCACTTAAATATAAAAGTTTTTGACTAATTACTCTCCACTTAATTTTTTTTTGAACAAATTCATAAGAGGTTGGATTCAAACTGTTACCCTAAAAATAAGATAATGCATTTATACGTAACCTAACGTCATTAAACCTTAAGTGCAATTACTCTCTATTTAATTGATTTGATTTTACATCGGATATTAATACCGTATTTATCTTTACTTATTTTCTGACAATCTCACAGCAGCACCCCTTTAAATTTTTTTATTAATTGTTTCTTTCTTCTTTTCTTTTTTTAAGTACGTATTAAAATTTTTATTTTTTTAATAAAAAAAAGTACGTATTAAAATTATATTAATTACATTTTTTTTAACAATGCATTACTGTTCAATTGCTTTGGAAGCCAACGGAACCTGCCCAGTTCCTTCCCACCCACTGCATTAATACTTTTAATAGTGGGTATGTGGCCTACATTATGCTTTACAAGCCCACTAATCAGATTAATTTATAACGTGACATTTTAAATTATTCAAAAGAAAACATTATCGGTTAAATTGTATTAAATTATATTAAATTAATTATTAGATAAAAATAAAATTTTGATATTGAGGATT